GGGAGAACTGGGAGACCTGAGATAACTGGGAGAACTGGGAGACCTGGGAGACCTGGGAGAACTGGGAGAACTGGGAGACCTGGGAGAACTGGGAGAACTGGGAGACCTGAGATAACTGGGAGAACTGGGAGACCTGAGATAACTGGGAGAACTGGGAGACCTGAGATAACTGGGAGAACTGGGAGAACTGGAAGAACTGGGAGAACTGGGAGACCTGAGATAACTGGGAGAACTGGGAGAAACAAGCAGGAAAAAGGTGACAGTTTGTTTGGGTCCGGCTGCTTACGGAACATCAGCTGCTGTTGAGCAACACGTTGCTCAACTTGTTGCTCAACACGTTGCTCAACACGTTGCTCAACACGTTGCTCAACATGTTGCTCAACTTGTTGCTCAACACGTTGCTCAACATGTTGCTCAACACGTTGCTCAACACGTTTCTCAACATGTTGCTCAACACGTTGAGCAACGTGTTGCTCAACACGTTGCTCAACACGTTGCTCAACACGTTGCTCAACACGTTGCTCAACTTGTTGCTCAACTTGTTGCTCAACTTGTTGCTCAACACGTTGCTCAACACGTTGCTCAACACGTTGCTCAACTTGTTGCTCAACTTGTTGCTCAACTTGTTGCTCAACACGTTGCTCAACACGTTGCTCAACATGTTGCTCAACACGTTGCTCAACTTGTTGCTCAACTTGTTGCTCAACACGTTGCTCAACATGTTGCTCAACACGTTGCTCAACATGTTGCTCAACACGTTGCTCAACACGTTGCTCAACACGTTGCTCAACTTGTTGCTCAACTTGTTGCTCAACACGTTGCTCAACACGTTGCTCAACATGTTGCTCAACATGTGCTCAACTTGTTGCTCAACACGTTGCTCAACGTGTTGCTCAACATGTTGCTCAACTTGTTGCTCAACACGTTGCTCAACTTGTTGCTCAACACGTTGCTCAACTTGTTGCTCTACTTGTTGCTCAACTTGTTGCTCAACACGTTGCTCAACTTGTTGCTCAACACGTTGCTCAACTTGTTGCTCAACATGTTGCTCAACACGTTGCTCAACATGTTGCTCAACACGTTGCTCAACACGTTGCTCAACATGTTGCTCAACACGTTGCTCAACTTGTTGCTCAACACGTTGCTCAACACGTTGAGCAACACGTTGAGCAACACGTTGATCAACACGTTGCTCAACACGTTGCTCAACTTGTTGCTCAACATGTTGCTCAACACGTTGATCAACACGTTGCTCAACACGTTGCTCAACACGTTGCTCAACACGTTGCTCAACATGTTGCTCAACACGTTGCTCAACTTGTTGCTCAACACGTTGCTCAACACGTTGAGCAACATGTTGCTCAACACGTTGCTCAACATGTTGCTCAACACGTTGCTCAACTTGTTGCTCAACACGTTGCTCAACTTGTTGCTCAACACGTTGCTCAACTTGTTGCTCAACACGTTGCTCAACACGTTGAGCAACACGTTGCTCAACACGTTGCTCAACACGTTGCTCAACATGTTGCTCAACACGTTGCTCAACTTGTTGCTCAACACGTTGCTCAACTTGTTGCTCAACACGTTGCTCAACTTGTTGCTCAACATGTTGCTCAACACGTTGCTCAACTTGTTGCTCAACACGTTGCTCAACTTGTTGCTCAACACGTTGCTCAACTTGTTGCTCAACATGTTGCTCAACATGTTGCTCAACTTGTTGCTCAACACGTTGCTCAACTGTTGCTCAACACGTTGCTCAACTTGTTGCTCAACACGTTGCTCAACTTGTTGCTCAACTTGTTGCTCAACTTGTTGCTCAACACGTTGCTCAACACGTTGCTCAACACGTTGCTCAACATGTTGCTCAACACGTTGCTCAACTTGTTGCTCAACACGTTGCAACGTGTTGAGCAACAAGTTGAGCAACACGTTGCTCAACACGTTGCTCAACACGTTGCTCAACATGTTGCTCAACATGTTGCTCAACTTGTTGCTCAACACGTTGCTCAACTTGTTGCTCAACACGTTGCTCAACTTGTTGCTCAACACGTTGCTCAACTTGTTGCTCAACATGTTGCTCAACATGTTGCTCAACTTGTTGCTCAACACGTTGCTCAACTTGTTGCTCAACACGTTGCTCAACTTGTTGCTCAACACGTTGCTCAACTTGTTGCTCAACTTGTTGCTCAACACGTTGCTCAACACGTTGCTCAACATGTTGCTCAACATGTTGCTCAACACGTTGCTCAACTTGTTGCTCAACACGTTGACAGGAACCGCCGGAGGAGGGCGGTGTTTGGTTTCAATGGATACAGCGTGGGGTCATTAGTGATGCTGATGTTTGAAACTGTTGGTTTCAAAATGTGCCGCGTTTTTCCAACCGGAGTCTTTTATGAAATCCAATATGACAGATCAATAAGTGAACAGGAAAAGCTTCTGGGTCTGAAGGACAATTAAAATATCACTTCATTATTTCAGCGATTATTATTCCATCTGGTTGTTTTGTAAAATGTGTCAAATTTTAACTACTTATTAAATGTCTACCAGCTAATACTTTGTAATGAATTGGAAGATTTTAATAGTCATTAATAATAATTTGGTGTGTTTTTTATTCATAGTTTTGAAACCAATCATATTTCAAAATATTGAGCAGAATTTCAACAGAAATGAAAAGACTCATGAAACTTTCTGGTTCGTTTTAACGTTGTTCATAAGCTGCTTGTTTTCATTCACCATTTTTTGTAAATAATTCATAAATTCAGATTCTTCTCAAATTCAACAGCTTAAGTTTTAGCAGAAAGTATAGCTACAACTTTAGCAGTGAGCATATGCTAACCATACATTCCAGCTAATGCTAAATAGTTAATTATACGTAAGTTAAGGTCATTTAAATAAAACATTAATATTAATAAACTGATATGGTTACTGCGCTGAATTTTAAGATAGCTAGGCTAAAACATTAGAACAGAAATTTGGCTAGTTTTTGCTAACCTTGAACTCTTAGCAGTTACTAAACTTTAGCTGCTTACCTATTCAAATTAATTAGCTTAAATAGGTTAGTTTAGTCAAAATTTTATTGTTTCTTAAACAGTTGTGAAACAAACAATTATGATTTTAAGTTATGCTAAAACTGAACTTGTAGCTAATGCTATTTGCTAAAGTTTAAGCTAAAAACATTTCAACTGTACTGTTAGCATGAGCTAACCTTCATCCTTTTTGAAAATTAGAATTCAATTCTTGGTTCTCAGATTTTTTGCTATGATTACATTTATACTTTTTTTAAACTTTGGTCCACAACATTCTGGAGATGATCTGAGCTTCTGCTCCCGGTTCTGGTTCTGCTCCCGGTTCTGCTCTCGGTTCTGGTTCTGCTCTCGGTTCTGCTCCCGGTTCTGGTTCTGCAGAGGTTGGTTCTGAAATGAAACAGCCGAGCTTCTGAATGAACGTTTGTGTAAAGTCCCTCAGTTCAGCTCCACTCCCTCCACATCCTGTCAGTCGGGGATTTCCACTCCAAGCAGCCAACATGGCCGCCGGAGCCGGTTCTGGGAGACCTTCCTCCGTGTGACGGATCTGAAGTCGACCTGCTCATGTAAAATTCAGCAGTTTCCCTGTTGGGCTCAGAATCTGCCGCAGGTTCATCCTCCGGTCAGCGGAGCGAAGTCTGTTTCAGATAAAGCAGCTCAAACCAGAAACAGGCTTCATCTGCAGAAAATGGACAGCTGGAGATTTCTGAACAAAGATTCAGTTTCAAGAGTTTCAAAGGAACTGGAAAGATTTTTAATGAGCATAAAATGAATTAAACCTGCATTTATGTTCCCTTTACATGACGCATTTTCCATCCTTTGTATGCCACAGTCAAGTAACTCTGTTACTTATAATGTTCTAAAAATGCTTTGACTTAAAATAAATGTCACTTCCTGATTTAATGCCTTGAAATTGAGCCTGTCTCTTTAAGAAGCTCCTGTGCTGTCTGAAGCTCCGCCTCCAGGAAGTCATTCCAACATGGCTCCTCTATTAACCCTGTAACGTTTTTAGCAGCGTCGCTCTGAGATGAGCTCAGCAGGTGTTTGCTGATTGCTGCTGATCTCCTGGTGACTGAATCATAAAATCTGTGAATTATTTTCATTTTAGACTCAAAGTTTGTTGTAAAGCTTTGAGTTTATGGACTCCAAACTGAAAGCCATGTTTTTCTTTGCTACTTTCTGTTGGTCTTTAACAAAAATCCCTCCAGAATAGATGACAGTTAAAAGGATATTAACATGAACACATGAAGAAGCAGCATTCAGATATTCTCTGAAACGATTCATCAATATCTGCGTTTTCATTACAAATGTTAACAAAACTTTCACTAACGTGGAAAAACACAAATTCGGTGATTCCCATAAATAAATATGAATAAGTTTTTTCATACAATATCATAAAAATACATGCGCCAAAGACTTCCTGTTGTCTTCTTTGTGGTTTCTGTCAGTAGCAACATCCTGTCGATCATTTGACTCGTGACGCAATAAAAAAAGCTTTTTCAAATTAAACCAATTTCATTATAGTGTTAAAACCAGTTGATACAAATGCTTTTATCAAAAAACAAGTTCTTTCTAAATTTCTGTTTCCATTAAGCTAATTAGTTTATAGATGTCAAATACAAGAATTACATGGAGACACAAATAATGAGGATTCCCAAAACATCAGATGAACAGCTTCCAAACTGTTCGGTTTGAGTAACAAACATTCTGAGCTACGCTAATGCGTTAGGCTAACATGCAGAAGCGAGGTTAGCTCTGTGTCTAGTTCAGAGCTAACCTAGCTCTGCTGTGAACCTAGCTTAAATGTACACATATAACAAACTGCTGAACTATAAAGATCTGGAATCTATCCTGATATTTCAAGCTTGTTCACTGAAAGACTAAAAGTAGAACCTGGTTTTGTTGAACTGTAGCTAAAACTTGTTTTTCTGCTTGGACTAGGACATTAAAACACAACACAACACACATAACCATAATGTTCATTTTATTCTTTAATGACAATATCCATCAGAACGGAGCTGATATTTGTTTTCTATTTAATTTCTGGGGCTTGATGAGGCTAGCGTTGGCAAACTGAAAGAGTTTTTCCATGCACAGACTTTCCATCTACACTTCCTGAATCTAGAAGTTTCTGTCTGATGTAGAGGGATGTTCTCGCGGTCTACAGTCGGCTCTGAGCGAATGGACGATGATGTGAGGAAAATTTGACCTTTGGCCTTAAAAGCAAAACAAAAATCCAACAGTGTCACTGATGGCAGTGACCCGGCAGAAGGAAGCTGGATCAGAATACTGCAGCACTTATGATCACACGTCTGACAACCGTAAAAATAATATCTGAGACTTTTATATAAATAAGACAAAAATCCACAGATGCTCCAGAGTTCAGAGGTCATCAGCGACATGCTGAGCAGGAAAGTTGAGGATGTGTCCAAACCTTCTCGGCAGCATGCCAGTGAGGGAATGCATGTGTCGGGCTACTCAGCTAGCATTCGCTACTGTTGGAACTGGGAACGCTGGGAACGCTGGGGGAACGTTGGGAATCCTTCCTCCGTGGAGCGTCAAGGCTTCGCTGGCTGGATGGAGAGCAGGCTGCCGAACTTAAAATGCTGGATCACTGGGAACTTCTCCAAACACTGAAAACACGACAGAGAGCGAGACGGATTAGCAACAGGAGCTAAAACCGCTGCTAAAGGAAAACAAGCTAACGAAGAGCAGGCTAATGAAGAGCAGGCTAATGAAAAGAAGGCTAATGAAGAACAGGCTAAAGAAAAGCAGAATAGAGACTTCTCCAAAAGCAGGAAGTGGACTACAGCCCAGTGTATTCTGGGTAAACACAACCAGAGCTAACTTGCTAGCCTAACGCTAGCAGCAGAAATGGCTCCTGGTCCTCCAACACTAAATCTGACGCCTCCATTTTGTTTCCATCTGGTGAAACAGGAAGTTGCTCTCAGTGGTTCTTGGCGCAGCGCCCCCACAGGCCAGGAGGGGAACATTGGTGGTTTGTGTTAAATGTATCAGTTGTCATAAACGTCTTTTAAAAGCTGCTGAATAAAATTTACTTACTTGCTAATTTAGTTTAAGCCAAAACTGCTTTGTTTGGGAAATAAACTGAATAAATGTCGTATCTGTACATTCATTTGATTATTTCTTAATATCAGGATGCTGGAGTTTTTCACTCCTCTCCAGTTTAAATCGATTTAAACTGACCGACCATCATTTTGACTCATGGAGACATTTGGACCGATTCTGTTTACTGACGATTAAAAGTAACTTTATAGTCAACCGGTCCGAACCGAATCAGAACCAAATGAATTCAAAGATGATGAAATATGAAAACGTTTCACATCATGTGTAGGTTTCAACATTCTCAAATATGAGAACAACACTAGTTGAAAGAACAACAGCAGAAAAGTCCAAAGAAAAACCTTCAGAACGCCTGAAAATCTGTTGAGCAAGAAGATTAAAGACAGTCAGAGTGACTTAAAGGAAAACTTCAAGAACCCGGATCCGCTCTCTGTGCGCGCCAACCCGACCTGCGGTACCGACTTTCACTTTGAGCGAATCGTGAGCAGGGCAGCCGCTTTGTGCTGCCGCTTTGTGCTGCCATCTTTACTGGGGCGCAGCAGTGGGGGTCTGGAGGCTGGGTGGGGAGGGTCTGTGGGGGGCCTGTGGGTGTGTGGGGGGGTCTGTGGGGGGTTTGTGAGGGGGTCTGTGAGGGAGGGTTTGTGTGGGGGGGGTTGTGGGCCTGTGGGGGGGGGTTTGTGGGGGGGGTCTGTGGGGGGGTTGTGGGCCTGTGGGGCGGGGGAGCCTGAATGCTCAGTCTGTCTGGGCGGTGACATTGCAGGTCACAATCATCCAGGCAGAACGGGGGAACAGAAGAATTGATATTTGATCAATTTATGTTTGGAAAATTAAAGAGTCACAGAGGAGAAAAGATTCATGCTCAGAAATATTTAAAATGTCCTAAAAACTGATCATAATTTGACCACTGATTATTAATGTTCTAATCTAATTAAGACCAAACAAAAACAGTATTTACCAGATTTTTATATTTTTTTCCTACTCATTAAGAAAATTAATTAAAAAGTTATAAATCTGGTTTCATTTTAGCAACTTTTACTCGTTAGCATGACTTTAGTTTAGTTTGATTTAGTTTAACATATTTAAATTCCAAAAGGCTGAATTTAAATGAGCATTTTTCCATCTGCAGCTAAATGTAGCTTCCGCTAATAGCTTAGCCACAAGCTCTAATCTAACTATTCTGTTTTTTGTTTTAAATGTAATTTAACCTTCAAATAAAGTTTTTTTTTTAAACTATAACATACTCTAGTTTTATTTCATGAAGGCTTCATGGAAAACTAACTTGTGAATCAAAACATGGCTTCTTGTTGCTTCTGACTTCAGGCTAATTATTAGCCTAGCGAAAAGCTCAGCTGAGCTAGTGTTGATTTTGATGCAAATATCTATTTTTACAGAAACTTTTAAATGAATAAAACTAAACAAGGTTGATTTAATTCTTTCGGGTTTTTTTCTTCTAACATGAATAAATTTGGCATGAAGAAAACTAGAAAAAAATTGAATAATATTCTATTTCATTATTTTAAAAACCTATTTTATTTTCTCTGACCTCCTTTGCCTCTCAGAGAGCCGTTAAACACTCCATCCTGTTTCTGGTTTAGTTTCGTCAACAAACTCTTTTGTTTTATGTTTCATTTGAAAACTGTAAGGAAAATAATCCGGAGTAAGTTTTGGAGTTTTTCTTAACTGAGTGAGTTTCTGCGACTTTACCAACAAAAAAAGAGAACCGAAGTAGGATGAAGTTCTTCTTCTGTTGTTTCTGCATCATGACTCAGTTAGACGGAGAACTTTGGTCTGCAGCTCAGCCAAACCGTGTGTGGGGCCGGGAAAGGGAGCGAGGAATGTGAGTCTGCTGATGGTTGCTTCAGGCTGGAGGAAGGTCGGACGGAGGGAGGGATGGAAGAGGAGAGGATTTAATGAAGGGAACGGGCAGGGGGAAGGGAACGCAGACAGCCTGGCCCCTCAGCTTTGGGAAAGACTCACAGGCTGCTCTGGAAAACACAGGATGTGGGCATGCAGGCGGGGAGAACGGGCTTAGACATTCCCCCCCATCCCCCCCCCATCCGCCCACACACACACACACACACACACACACACACACACACACACACACACACCACACACACACAAGTCTCATTCTCTCCATTCTTGATTTAACCCTTTCCTGCCTCTGCAGCCCTCAGAACCAGTCTGGGTGTTTCAGTCAGAGCAACCCGGTTCTCTGCCTGGTTCCAGTAAAGTAAAAACTGCAGAAGTGAGCATCTTTAAACTAGCCCTTTCAGCTAGCATCTTTAAACTAGCATCTGAAACTAGCGCCTTAAGCTAGCATCTTTAAACTAGCGCCTTTAAGCTAGCATCTTGAAACTAGCGCCGTTAAGCTAGCATCTTTAAACTAGTGCCTTTAAGCTAGCATCTTTAAACTAGCGCCTTTAAGCTAGCATCTTAAAACTGGTGCCTTTAAGCTAGCATCTTGAAACTAGCGCCTTTAAGCTAGCATCTTTAAACTAGTGCTTTTAAGCTAGCATCTTTAAACTAGTGCCTTTAAGCTAGCATCTTAAAACTAGCGCCTTTAAGCTAGCATCTTAAAACTAGTGCCTTTAAGCTAGCATCTTTAAACTAGCGCTTCTGAGCTAGCATCTTGAAACTAGCGCCTTTAAGCTAGCATCTTAAAAGTAGCACCTTTAAGCTAGCATCCTAAAACTAGCGCCTTTAAGCTAGCATCTTAAAACTAGCGCTTTTGAGCTAGCATCTTGAAACTAGCGCCTTTAAGCTAGCATCTTAAAACTAGCGCCTTTAAGCTAGCATCTTTAAACTAGTGCCTTAAGCTAGCATCTTCAAACTAGTGCCACTAAACTAACTTTTAAGCTAGCATCTTTAAGCTAATCGAGTTTAAGCTAGTGCTTTAAAACTAGCGCCATTAAGCTAATGTTTTACGCTAGTGTCTTTAAGCTAGCGCCTTAAAGCTAGCGCCTTAAGCTAACTGTATAAAATCCACAAAGTTAATCTGTTTAAATCCCAGCAAATGAAAGATAACGTCTGAAGACGATTATAAAATGTTTTGTTTTTTTCCAAATGCGACATTTTGATCACTTCTCTGTGTTTACATAAAGATAATGTTTTAAGGGACAGAAAAGTTATGTTTTTTTTAAATAAAAATGAGACAAAGAGGGAAAATGTTTTTCATTGTAACTAATGTTCATTTATATCAGTAAGTCAGAAGAAATGTCCTAATTATAGCGCCACCTGTAGGTGGACCCAAGTAATAACAACAATTGTAAACAAATACCGCAATTTTAAATTATGTTTTTACATTGTCAAAGCGACAGTCAAAGAAAGAACTGTTTAATTTCAAGACTCCGAAATGACGTAAAGCTTTCAGCTTATTTAGTGACTTTTTGTTCATTATTTGGGAGTTTAAATAAAATCCAATAAATCTGTGGGAGAAAAGGCCTCATTTCACCAGGAATCAGTTAGATCTATTCTGAAAAATTTAATATTTCCATCTCTGTTTAAAATCGTTTGATGTTTATCTACATTCCTTTCTCCTTCTCTTATTAAAAACTTTTGATAAAATCTTTTCATCGTCTCATTTCACTGCAGTTAGAGGAAATGTTGAAGACGTCAGTAAACGTGAAACCAGCTTCAGAACCGAAAACAACCTTTACTCTTTTTTCTCAAAGTTGAAGTTTTTACAGCCAAACGTTTCCGAGAAACTAGATCAGAAACACTGGAGCAGAAACACTGGAGGAGAAACACTGGAGGAGAAACACTGGAACAGAAACACTGGAGGAGAAACACTGGAACAGAAACACTGGAGAAGAAACACTGGAGGAGAAACACTGGAACAGAAACACTGGAGGAGAAACACTGGAACAGAAACACTGGAGGAGAAACACTGGAACAGAAACACTGGAGGAGAAACACTGGAACAGAAACACTGGAGGAGAAACACTGGAACAGAAACACTGGAGGAGAAACACTGGAGGAGAAACACTGGAACAGAAACACTGGAGGAGAAACACTTGAACAGAAACACTGCAGGAGAAACACTGGAGGAAAATACTGGAGGAGAACACTGGAACAGAAACACTGGAGGAGAAACACTGGAACAGAAACACTGGAGGAGAAACACTGGAACAGAAACACTGGAGCAGAAACACTGAAGATGAAACACTGGAACAGAAACACTGGAACAGAAACACTGGAGAAGAAACACTGGAGGAGAAACACTGGAGAAGAAACACTGGAACAGAAACACTGAAGAAGAAACACTGGAACAGAAACACTGGAACAGAAACACTGGAGAAGAAACACTGGAACAGAAACACTGGAACAGAAACACTGGAGGAGAAACACTGGAGAAGAAACACTGGAGGAGAAACACTGGAGAAGAAACACTGGAACAGAAACACTGGAGGAGAAACACTGGAACAGAAACACTGGAACAGAAACACTGGAGGAGAAACACTGGAACAGAAACACTGAAGGAGAAACACTGGAACAGAAACACTGCAGGAGAAACACTGGAGGAAACACTGGAACAGAAACACTGGAGGAGAAACACTGGAACAGAAACACTGCAGGAGAAACACTGGAGGAGAAATACTGGAGGAGAAACACTGGAACAGAAACACTGGAGGAGAAACATTGAACAGAAACACTGGAACAGAAACACTGGAGGAGAAACACTGGAACAGAAACACTGGAACAGAAACACTGGAGGAGAAACACTGAAGATGAAACACTGGAACAGAAACACTGGAACAGAAACACTGGAGGAGAAACACTGGAGAAGAAACACTGGAGGAGAAACACTGGAGAAGAAACACTGGAACAGAAACACTGGAGAGAAACACTGGAACAGAAACACTGGAGAAGAAACACTGGAGGAGAAACACTGGAACAGAAACACTGGAGAAGAAACACTGGAGGAGAAACACTGGAACAGAAACACTGGAACAGAAACACTGGAGGAGAAACACTGGAACAGAAACACTGGAACAGAAACACTGGAGGAGAAACACTGGAGAAGAAACACTGGAGGAGAAACACTGGAGAAGAAACACTGGAACAGAAACACTGGAGGAGAAACACTGGAACAGAAACACTGGAGGAGAAACACTGGAGAAGAAACACTGGAGGAGAAACACTGGAACAGAAACACTGGAGAAGAAACACTGGAGAAACACTGGAACAGAAACACTGGAGGAGAAACACTGGAACAGAAACACTGGAGAAGAAACACTGGAGGAGAAACACTGGAACAGAAACACTGGAACAGAAACACTGGAACGAAACACTGGAGGAGAAACACTGGAACAGAAACACTGGAGAAGAAACACTGGAGAAAAACTGGAACAGAAACACTGGAACAGAAACACTGGAGGAGAAACACTGGAGGAGAAACACTGGAACAGAAACACTGGAACAGAAAAACTGGAACAGAAACACTGGAGAAGAAACACTGGAACAGAAACACTGGAGGAGAAACACTGGAGAAGAAACACTGGAGGAGAAACACTGGAACAGAAACACTGGAGGAGAAACACTGGAACAGAAACACTGGAACAGAAACACTGGAGGAGAAACACTGGAACAGAAACACTGGAGGAGAAACACTGGAACAGAAACACTGGAGGAGAAACACTGGAACAGAAACACTGGAGGAGAAACACTGGAGAAGAAACACTGGAGGAGAAACACTGGAGTAGAAACAGTGGAGGAAAACACTGGAGAAGAAACACTGGAGGAGAAACACTGGAACAGAAACACTGGAGGAGAAACACTGGAGTAGAAACAGTGGAGTAGAAACAGTGGAGTAGAAACAGTGGAGTAGAAACACTGGAGGAGAAACACTGGAACAGAAACACTGGAGGAGAACACTGGAACAGAAACACTGGAACAGAAACACTGGAGGAGAAACACTGGAACAGAAACACTGGAGGAGAAACACTGGAACAGAAACACTGGAGGAGAAACACTGGAGGAGAAACACTGGAACAGAAACACTGGAGGAGAAACACTGGAACAGAAACACTGGAGGAGAAACACTGGAACAGAAACACTGGAGGAGAAACACTGGAGAAGAAACACTGGAGGAGAAACACTGGAGCAGAAACACTGGAGGAGAAACACTGGAGAAGAAACACTGGAGGAGAAACACTGGAACAGAAACACTGGAGGAGAAACACTGGAGAAGAAACACTGGAGGAGAAACACTGGAGAAGAAACACTGGAGGAGAAACAGTGGAGAAGAAACACTGGAGGAGAAACACTGGAACAGAAACACTGGAGGAGAAACACTGGAGAAGAAACACTGGAGAAGAAACACTGGAGGAGAAACACTGGAGAAGAAACACTGGAGAAGAAACACTGGAGGAGAAACACTGGAACAGAAACACTGGAGGAGAAACACTGGAACAGAAACACTGGAGGAGAAACACTGGAGAAGAAACACTGGAGAAGAAACACTGGAGGAGAAACACTGGAGAAGAAACACTGGAGGAGAAACACTGGAACAGAAACACTGGAGGAGAAAACTGGAACAGAAACACTGGAACAGAAACACTGGAGGAGAAACACTGGAACAGAAACACTGGAGGAGAAACACTGGAACAGAAACACTGGAGGAGAAACACTGGAACAGAAACACTGGAGGAGAAACACTGGAGAAGAAACACTGGAGAGAGAAACACTGGAGTAGAAACAGTGGAGGAGAAACACTGGAGAAGAAACACTGGAGGAGAAACACTGGAACAGAAACACTGGAGGAGAAACAGTGGAGTAGAAACAGTGGAGTAGAAACATGGAGTAGAAACACTGGAGAGAAACACTGGAACAGAAACACTGGAGGAGAAACACTGGACAGAAACACTGGAACAGAAACACTGGAGGAGAAATACTGGAACAGAAACACTGGAGGAGAAACACTGGAACAGAAACACTGCAGGAGAACACTGGAGAGAAAACACTGGAACAGAAAACACTGGAGAGAAACACTGGAACAGAAACACTGGAGGAGAAACACTGGAACAGAAACACTGGAGGAGAAAACACTGAAGAAGAAACACTGGAGGAGGAAACACTGGAGTAGAAACAGTGGAGGAGAAACACTGGAGAAGAAACACTGGAGGAGAAACTGGAACAGAAACACTGGAGAGAAACACTGGAGAAGAAACACTGGAGGAGAAACACTGGGAGTAGAAACAGTGGAGTAGAAACAGTGGAGTAGAAACACTGGAGGAGAAACACTGGAACAGAAACACTGGAGGAGAAACACTGGAGAAGAAACACTGAGAAGAAACACTGGAGGAGAAACACTGGAGAAGAAACACTGGAGAGAAACACTGGAGAGAAACTGGAACAGAACACTGGAGGAGAAATACTGGAACAGAAACACTGGAGGAGAAACACTGGAGAAGAAACACTGGAGAAGAAACACTGGAGGAGAAACACTGGAGAAGAAACACTGGAGAAGAAACACTGGAGGAGAACACTGGAACAGAAACACTGGAACAGAAACACTGGAGGAGAAACACTGGAACAGAAACACTGGAGGAGAAACACTGGAACAGAAACACTGGAGGAGAAACACTGGAACAGAAACACTGGAGGAGAAACACTGGAGAAGAAACACTGGAGGAGAAACACTGGAGGAGAAACAGTGGAGGAGAAACACTGGAGAAGAAACACTGGGGAGAAACACTGGAACAGAAACACTGGAGGAGAAACAGTGGAGTAGAAACAGTGGAGTAGAAACAGTGGAGTAGAAACACTGGAGGAGAAACACTGGAACAGAAACACTGGAGGAGAAACACTGGAACAGAAACACTGGAACAGAAACACTGGAGGAGAAACACTGGAACAGAAACACTGGAGGAGAAACACTGGAACAGAAACACTGGAGGAGAAACACTGGAGGAGAACACTGGAACAGAAACACTGGAGGAGAAACACTGGAACAGAAACACTGGAGGAGAAACACTGGAACAGAAACACTGGAGGAGAAACACTGGAGAAGAAACACTGGAGGAGAAACACTGGAGAAGAAACACTGGAGGAGAAACACTGGAGAAGAAACACTGGAGGAGAAACACTGGAACAGAAACACTGGAGGAGAAACACTGGAGAAGAACACTGGAGAGAACACTGGAGTAGAAACAGTGGAGTAGAAACAGTGGAGTAGAAACACTGGAGGAGAAACACTGGAACAGAAACACTGGAGAGAAACACTGGAGAAGAAACACTGGAGAAGAAACACTGGAGGAGAAACACTGGAGAAGAAACACTGGAGAAGAAACACTGGAGGAGAAACACTGGAACAGAAACACTGGAGGAGAAACACTGGAACAGAAACACTGAGGAGAAAACTGGAGAAGAAAACTGGAGAAGAAACACTGGAGGAGAAACACTGGAGAAGAAACCTGGAGAAGAAACACTGGAGGAGAAACACTGGAACAGAAACACTGGAGGTGCCTGAGTGTCTGGAATGTTGGATGAGATTTCCATGGATGTTCCAGATTATTCCAGATAATCCTCAGAATAAAACTTAAAGTTCAACATCAACGCGGCGAACTGCCTGGAGACAGAGCAGGAAGATTTGATCTCATTTTAACCGTCTGGGCCAACATTGTTCTGATGTTTATGAGGAGCTCTATTGATCAGTGATTGGTTTCATTGATCAGTTTCATTGATCAGTGATAATTTCATTGATCAGTGATTGGTTTCACCTCTGCTTTGTACATCCTGATCAGGCCCTGGTTGACTTTGGACCAGGACGGGACGGCGCTGATGTTCCATAGCTGGTT